GCATTCAAATCATCCAAGTAGTCTAGAAACTCATAATCTATAGACAACTTGTCCTTAGTTCGTGGGAACAACACTGTAGCAAACAGTAGCATCAAATAGGGTACGACGAATTCAGGTCCTGTTGTCTTGCACTTGGAAACATATTCCTTTAGCTCAGAATACCCCATGAGGTTTCCTTTTTCATCAGCAAACAAACTTTTGTGCTTCTTTTTACCCACATCAACATTCTTCGGATGTATCATTCCGTGCATTGACAAACCAAAATGGGACTCAACAACTTCTGGTGATAGAGTTATCGAAACACCACCTACGTTAATACTCCGAGATTTCCTGTCATAATTTTTAATAAGCATACTAACTAGTTTAGAATCAATTTGGGACAAAGTAAGCCGAGGAAACGTCCCAAATCCTATCTTTTCAAGTTCACGACGCTGAATTGATGGCATGTTGTTATTGATTTCCACGATTGTCTTGAGTTTGGTCCGATGCAGCAGGTTCCCGTCATCCATAGAATATCTTGGTGAATGATTTGATTTTCCCCTACTTTTATTTGTATTTGCTGGAGAATTCTGCAAGATGTACAACAGTATAACATGCAAGATTAAAAAAATAAACGGCTTTTATGCTATCGAAATAAATAAATATTATGCGATCTATTCAACATTTACAATTTTTTACCTCTGCAGAACCAGACATTTTGTAAATAATTATGGCCGCTTTCGTTTGATGATGTTGATGCCAGTTATACAAAGAACGTGGAGGTTGACAGAAGATAACTACGACATCCAATAGTTAGTTGAGAATTTTAGGTGATTCGTAATTGACTAAATATCTGCAATGTAACACTTACCATATACAACATATTTTACATTTAATACTTTAAAAATTAATATAGCAATTACGATATAATACATATTTTATATACTTAAAAAATTGAACTACCGTATTATGGAAAAAAAATATTGGCATCCCAAAATATGGTAGTAGCGATAATTCATGAAATCATAATTATGATATACATGGTCAAAATTCATCTTGCTATTAATAATCGTTTAAATACAGGGACATTATCATCCATAAACAGCAACGAATATCTTAGATATTTAAAAATATTTCAATGTTTAAACTTCTTGATAAATAAATGTACGTAGCACGTGAGATACACGGGACAGAAGTATCCCCCGTGTATTAGGCTTGGGTAAATTTTAATTTATTTCCAAACAAAAAATCATTAGGTTCGGATTACAATAAATATGTTGATTATTTATGGTCATGGTACATTATTAATTGCATTTTAATAGCATTACTTATATATATATAATTACTAGAATTAGTACTATTGAACTCGAATTAGTACAATTGAAGTCGAATTAGTACAATTGAAGTCTACTTAGTACAATAGAAGTCAAATTAGTACAATTGAAGTCAAATTTGCACAATTGAAGTCAACTTAGTACAATTGAAGTCAAATTAGTACAATTGAAGTCAACTTAGTACAATTGAAGTCGAATTAGTACAATTGAAGTCAAATTAGTACAACTGACTTCGAATTAGTGCAATTGAAGTCGAATTAGTACAACTGAAGTCAACTTAGTACAATTGAATTCGAATTAGTACAATTGAAGTCGAATTAGTACAACTGAAGTCAACTTAGTACAATTGAAGTCGAATTAGTACAATTGAAGTCTACTTAGTACAACTGACTTTGAATTAGTACAATTGAAGTCGAATTAGTACAATTGAAGTCGAATTAGTACAATTGAAGTCGAATTAGTACAATTGAAGTCTACTTAGTACAATAGAAGTCAAATTAGCACAATTGAAGTCAAATTTGTACAATTGAAGTCAACTTAGTACAATTGAAATCAAATTAGTACAATTGAAGTCAACTTAGTACAATTGAAGTCGAATTAGTACAATTGAAGTCAAATTAGTACAACTGACTTCGAATTAGTACAATTGAAGTCGAATTAGTACAACTGAAGTCAACTTAGTACAATTGAATTCGAATTAGTACAATTGAAGTTGAATTAGTACAACTGAAGTCAACTTAGTACAATTGAAGTCGAATTAGTACAATTGAAGTCTACTTAGTACAACTGACTTCGAATTAGTACAATTGAAGTCAAATTAGTACAATTGAAGTCGAATAGTACAATTGAAGTCTACTTAGTACAATAGAAGTCAAATTAGTACAATTGAAGTCAAATTTGTACAATTGAAGTCAACTTCGTACAATTGAAGTCAATTTAGTACAATTGAAGTCAACTTAGTACAATTGAAGTCGAATTAGTACAATTGAAGTCAAATTAGTACAACTGACTTCGAATTAGTACAATTGAATTCGAATTAGTACAACTGAAGTCAACTTAGTACAATTGAATTCGAATTAGTACAATTGAAGTCGAATTAGTACAATTGAAGTCAAATTAGTACAACTGAAGTCGAATTAGTACAATTGAAGTCGAATTAGTACAATTGAAGTCGAATTAGTACAATTGAAGTCGAATTAGTACAATTGAAGTCTACTTAGTGCAATAAAAGTCAAATTAGTACAATTGAAGTCAAATTTGTACAATTAAAGTCAACTTAGTACAATTGAAGTCAAATTAGTACAAT